TCGGTGGTGTCTCAGTGGTGTCTCGGTTGTGTCTCGGTTGTCTCTCGGTGGTGTCGCTGATCTCGGTGGTGTCTTGGTGGTATCCGAGTTGTCTCTTGGTGGTGTGTCGCTGGTGTCTTGGCGATGTCTCGATGGTGTCTCTGTGGTGTTTTGGTGGTGTCTCGGTGGTGTCCCTATGATGTCTTGGTAGTCTCGCGGTGGCGTCTGAAAGGTGTCTGCATCGCGCTGCGCTCTTTTGATAGTGTTTCATTGGTGCCTTCATGGTGTCCAGGTGGTGTCTCGGTGGTGCTCAGCCGCTTCCATGCTGATACAAGGTGTTCATGGTGTCTTGGTCGTATCTTGGAGGCGTCGTGTTGGTGGTGTGGGGGCGGTTGGTTGGTGGTCCTTGGTTGTGTGTCTGTGGTGCTTCCCTGCGCGCCACGAAAATCTAATCTCGAGTGTGTTTTCTTGATTAGTCGCACCATGCACCAGGTAGTCTTCAGCGGTTGCATGCTGTTATCATGGTGACCATCGTGACTGCTGAAGATAACTGTGATAATAAGGAGGAGCATGGTGATGATGACGATGATGATGATGATGACGATGTTGATGGCGACGACGATGACCACCTTGCGTGTGCAGGTTTGGGTTGAAGCGGGGGCAGGGATGGATTTTGACGTATGCTAGGAAGTAACGTACTTAATTACCATGATGCTTCTACCGAAGCAACTGCGAACATTCCCTCATGACATGCAGCAACAAGGACAGTGGGCTGCTCACCCCAGCCGAGGAATTGATATACCTGCTACATGCTACACTTCCACGCCCTCACGCAAGTTTATCAAAGGACAAAGGTTTTAGAATAGAAAACCAACAGGAAAGAAGGAAATAATCTCTACAGGGGAAGGGAAAGAGGGAGGGAGGGGGGAGGGGAGGAAGGAAGGCCTAGCTCCAAAATGCTGCGTGCGCTTTCCAATTTAAGCATGTTACTTTCAGAGATTTGCAGGTCTCAACCAAGTTACAAGTGTTGGGTTTCAAAAGGTGGCAAAGACCGTGCAGTTTACAGATTTTAGATCCAACACGCTGCAAACACCATGCGTGTGCAACGTGCAGATGATAATTTCAAGATGTTGCGAATACCGCCCACTTGCAGGTTTGAGCTTCAGAAAATCGCAAAAATAGCATCCAATTTACAGGCATAAATTTCAAAATGCTGCGCGTGCCATGCGGTTTACCCGTGATAGTTGCAAAATATTGCAAAGACTATGCGATGCATTAAATTCTGCCCCAGTATTCTGCGTTTTTGGTTTTCTGAATGCTGCAAGCATTCTACAGTGTACAGATTTTTTGCCTCAGAGCGCCGTGAAATCACAACACGGTTTTCAGATATGATTCCAAATCTTGCAAATACCCTGCAATTGCAGATGTTAGCTTCGCACTGCTGCAAAATATTGTCGGATGGCAAAGCTCCGTACAATGAACTGATGTTGCGTCATACCAGGCAGTGTACAGGTGCAAGCTGCAAAATACTGCAAATATTAGGCGACTTCGAGATTCTAACAGCAACCAACCACCAAAATATTGTGCACAGATGCTTTCACACAGAGGTGCTTCCACAAAGACATGTTTTTACACAGACATTTGCACATATACATGCGTTTACCCAGAGATGGTCTTACACACAAACACCTTCACGCAGAGGTGTTTGTACACAGGGGTGCTTTTACACAAAGAACTTTTACACACAGACGCGCGGGTACTTCTAAACACAGATGCCTTCACACTGCGATCCTGTTGAGGAATGCTTTTACACGCACGTGCTTTTACACAGGGCTTCTTTTGACACAAAGTAGCCTTTACACACAGAAGCTTTTACAGCAAATATATACTCTTATGCAGAGATGCTTTGACACAGAAATATACATTTGTACAAACATGTTTTTTAACACACAGATACGTTATAAAGAGGTATTTTTATACGCGTATATAGTATATACTTTTTGGAGAGATGCTTTTACACACTGGTGCTTTTAGACTAGGACGCATCTAGGCAGAGGTACTTTTACATGGGTGAGGCTGGGGATTGAAACACGATTTGGGGGAGGTTTCCGGCCATTTTTGTAATCAGGTTTCCATCCTTTTTTTTTTCACAGAGAGATGCTTTTACATACAAGTGCTTCTACACAGGGAGGGCCTTCACACAGAGATGGTTTTACGCAGAGAGATGATTTCATAAAGGGATGCTCTTATACAGAGATACTTTCAACACAGAGATGCTTTTACACACGGGTGCTTTAAGATACAAATACTTCTTACGCAGAGATCATTTGCTAAGAGAAACTTTTAGATGCAGGGGGGGTTACACACAATTGCCTTTACGCAGAGATGCTTGTACACAGGTGCTTTGACACGCTAATACGTGTACACAGTGCTTTTACGGACACATTCTTTTACGCAGAGATTCCTCTACACGCATTGCGTGCAAGCACTTTTACATAGAGAACTTTTGACACACAGTGGCAGGCGCATTTACATGCAAATATTTTTACACGGCAAAACTTATTTTGTGCATGTTTCTTTTTACATACATGCATGCTCTTTCACAGGGATACTTTCGATCATACATGCTTTCAATCACACATGCTTTTATACAGAGATGTTTTTACACAGAGACACCTTTACACAGAGATGCTTTTGCACAGGGATGCTTTCATGCACAGAAATGATTCTTTGCACACATACTTTTACAGAGAGATGATTTTACATTGAGCAATTTTAAACACAAATGCCAAAACAAACAGAGCCACTTTTACAAAAGGAATGTATTAGCACGAGGAATTTTTACCTATGGGTATTTTTACACAGACATACTACTGCATGATTTCCGACGGCGGACACGCATATGGCGCAAAAGAACTCAGCAAGGATATGCAAAATCACACTTTCACCACAGCTTTTGACGTTCGAGACGCATATCATGGGACAGGGTTGGCCTAGCGCAAGCCCACGTTCACATTGCAATTTGACCTCAATGTATGATGATCGACATTTCGCGCAAGAGAGTTGTATTCCATGGACATTAATACATGCTGCCCTGGCGCTCTAAGAGAAGTTTGAGAAAAATCAAGATTGTAGTTGCGTTTAAGAAATTAATCGCCGCCTGTGTCTTTACATCTGCCCCTTTACACCTGCGTATATCCACTTCCCGGTGTTTTTAAACAATCATCTCCACCTGCACCTATATATCTTCCGCAATACACCTGCATACGGTATATATATATAATATTATATTCATTTGGTAGCTGTGTTAAAGAAGATTCTGTGAAACTGCATCTGTGCATCTGGTCCTAAACACCAGTCAGTAAGATTGATACCTGCATCTACGCCCGTGTATATAGGTTTCATTTGCATGTACGAAAGAACATCACTTTGTAGATGCATGAAAGTGAAGATGTTGAAGAAGAAGACGAGGAGAAGAGGCGGAAGGAAAAGAAGAAGAAAAAAGATGCTGATGATGTTGATGATGTTGATGATGGTGGTGTTGTTGATGATGATGGTGATGATAAGGATGATGATGATGATGTTGATGATGATGACAATGACGATCCATGATGATCTTTGATGATGACGACGATGATGCTTGATAATGATGATGATGGTGATGATGACGACGACGACGACGATGACGATGGCGACAAAGACGACGACGATGATGATGATGATGATGGAGTTGGTGGTCTTGATGATGATGATGATGATGATAATGGTAATGGTGATGATAATGATGATGATGATGATGATGATGATGATGGTAATGGTGATGATGATGACGACGGTGTTTTGATGATGGTTGATTTTTTTACTTGCGGTGTTGTGATGATGGTGATGGGAAAAGATGATTATGACAAAACATGCTGGCAACTTTGTTTTGGGAAAAACCCTTTGCAGGTCTTTTGGGGAAATGGTGGTGTATGTCCTGATGGTGTCTGTCCTTTGGTTGTATTGAAGAAACTTGTTTTTCCCAAACAGCGTAAGCTAATGGGGTCTTCAGCCCAGAATAGATCCGGTGGGCACTGGTGCAGGCGCCGGGTCAGGTTCAACGAGGGTTCCGTAGAAGGTTCCAGGAAGCCTTGGTGCAAAGCCAAGTCAGGTTCAACAGGGTTCCGGAGAAGGTTCCGGAGAAGGTCAGGGAGGCTTTGGTGCAGAGCCAGGTCAAGTTCAACAGAAGGTTCCGGAGAAGGTTTGGGAGACTCAGGTTCGACAGGGTTCCGGAGAAGGTTCCGGCGAAGGTCTGGGAGGCTTTGGTGCAGAGCCAGGTTCAACAGGGTTCAGGAGAAGGTGTGGGAGGCTTTGGTGCAAAGCAAGGCCAGGTTCAACAGGGTTACGGAGAAGGTTCCGGAGAAGGTCTGGGAGGCTTTGGTGCAAAAGCCAGGTCAAGTTCAACAGGGTTTGGTGCAGAGCCAGGTCAGGTTCAACAGGGTTCCGGAGAAGGTTCCGGAGAAGGTTCCAGGAACCATTGGTGCAAAGCCAAGTTAGGTTCAACGGGTTCCGGAGAAGGTTGCAGAGAAGGTCCCGGAGAAGGTTTTGGGAATCTTTGGTGCAGGGCCAGGTCAGGTTCAACAGGTTCAACAGGGTTTCCAGCGCTTGGCTTCGCAGCACGCTTCAGAAAGATGTGTAAAAATAAAATGTTGCGGCTGTTGGGGATACCACCGAAGCTTATTTTGAGCCAAGACGTCTTACCTGTCAATACCAAATTGGCGTCGACAGAGATGCGAAACTTTGCTATTGGGGTTGTATGCTGGGTTAACTACTTCAAAGGCACGGCGTCTTTGACAACTAGAAGCATCATCAACTGAAGCTTAATAGGCCAAAGCCCCGCTGACAGCAATTGGGCCTAAGGCAGCCATCCACGTTTCCCTTAACTTATCAAGTGCACACCAACACAGGCTGCTGAAGACAGCTTGCCCCGAACTGTAATGTGCCAAGGGGCTCTAGCGCCGCTGTTCCTTGCAGAACTTCGGCTACTTCTTGGCAGGAATCTGGGAAAAAGACTGCGAACTCACCTGGGTGGAGTCTTTGGACAGTAGGCACAAAACTTAAGCATCCAGCAGCTATCAAGCCATGCAAAAGACACCTCAACAAGGGGTCTAAGGGGGTCTCCTGCCTGCTGCTATTTTCACAGCAGGGGTCCAGCCTTCCTTATTTTTCCGCCCTGGTGAGAGATTCTGAAACCCTTCTTGCGCAGCCCAGCGGCGCGGGTGCCATATTTGAAGTCAGCGCGGTCGTACAAAACTTCCGCAGACAACATGGTCATGAAGCTGGTGATGCGCCTGGCTTTGGCGACCGGGCCAATTCGGACCAAACGGCTCCAAGCAAGTGCCATGTCCAATGTTCCTGGGTTCGATATAGATGTTGACTTTAAATTACTGCCGACGTGTGTCATTGAACACAACAAGTAAAAACGATGTCATCCAATGGCGCCAGCTTTGTCTCCAACCAAAACCAAACTTTCTCTTGCAGGCGCATGCAGGCGCCTAGTGTCAAAGACCGCCAATGTGTCCAAAGCTTTTTCAAGCTCCTGACAAAATTAAAAAAGCGTTGGGTGATTCCCCCTAGATACGCAAGCAAGCATTCGGCTTCAAAAGGTTTTCGGGTTATACCATGTTATACCAGCCCCGCGGTCATCTTTACGATCTTCATTAAACAGAGCTCCAAGTGCAGTGTTACAAACTGGGCCATGATGGCGCGGTCCTGAAGTTCCATTTGCCCCAGCAACTCAGCCATCTCCTTGTGCGCGCAAGAACAAACTGACAATGGAATCCCAGTAAAGACAGAAACAAGTCAGATGCGACAGTGGTCGCATGCTGCATGACAACATGCAAAATCAAGTGAAACAGTGCTGGGTGGAAGGAGGGCTGGCGCCACGGCGCCGCTGCTGCTGCGGATGGGGCAGCTGTGACAGTCGCGAGGCTTCTACAGCCCTTTGCTAAAGACCAAGGCGTCGACTATTTAAGCACTTTCCGAGTGGTGTCCGTGCGCCCGGCCTTCAGCTTCACGCTGACCTGCTCGCTATCCGGGGTCCTGCGAAGCGCAATCTCGTGCAAACAGATGTCCAAGCCTAAAATACCAACATCATTGCCAAACCTATCCTCACCAATAACCGCTATTGCCACCTTTGCTAGAAGTGTTATCACTGCCATCAGCCTCTGCATCAGCATCATCATCACCGCAACTCGTCACATACCATCACCAACCGTCAAGTACCGCTATCAAAACAACCCCACGTCACCACCACCAGCATCACCCTCACCGATATTTAAAAAATCCGCTGCCTTACCGTGGCCATCACCATCGCCATCATCACTTTGAAGGTTGCAAACCATCACATTGAGGCAGCACCCGCCATTGTCACAATCATCATCACCATCATCATCACCAATGTCATGGCCACCCTACCTCATCCTCACCATGGCCGTCAGCAACAACGACATCATCATCATCATCATCATCATCACCATCACCATCACCTGTTGTAGTCACCATCAGTGCTGTCACCGCAGTGTTTGTGCTCCATTGCCTGACGTTGTTATATGATGTTTTACGATGCTTTTGTGGAATGTCCCTATCAATGTGTTCTTTTTTCCCTAGATAGCGAAGCTATGGGGGTTCTTACTTCAGGCACAGGAGGAGTTGCATGTCTGCGTTTTGGAGCACGCATGTTGGTGCCGCTGCAGGGTGCCGGCTGTCAGAGCGGTGTGTGCGCTCTGAAGCGGGCATGCTGGTGCAAGGTGCTGCTTGAGGGTGCTGCTGTTAGAGTGGTGTGTGCGCTTTGGAGCCGGCATGCTGGTGCCGCTGCAAGGTGTTGCTGTCAGAGTGGTGTGTGCGCTTTGGAGCGGGAATTCTGGTGCTGCTGCAGGGTACCGCTGCAAGGTGCTGCTTGAGGGTGCTGCTGTTAAAGGGGCGCGTGCGCTTTGGAGCGGGCATGCCAGTGCTGCTGCAGGATGCGGCTGGGAGGTGCTTCTTGAGGGCGCTGCTGTCAGTGGGGTGTGTGCTTTGGAGCGGGTGCTGTTGGAGGGTTCCGCTGCAAGGTGCTGCTGAAGGCTGTGAGAATGGCGTGTGCGCTTTGGAGCGGGGGGTGCTGCTGCAAGGTGCCGCTGCTTGAGGGTACTGCTTGAAGGTGCTGCTGTCAGAGTGGTGTGCTCTTTGGTGCCGCTGCAGGATGCCGCTGCGGGGTGTTGCTTGAAGGATGCTTCAGAGTGCTACTTCTGAGTGGCGTGTGCGCTTTGAAGCGGCTGCAGGGTCCGCTGCAAGGTGCTGCTTGAGGGTGCTGCTGTCTCAGCGGGGTGTGAAGCCGGCATGCCAATGTCTTGTGCGCTTTTTAGCGGGCATGCTGGTGCCGATGCAGGGCGCTGCTGCAAGGTGCTGCTTGAGGGTGCTGCTTGAAGGTGACGTGCTGCTGTCAGAGCGGTGGGTGCGCCTTCGAGTGGGCATGTTGTTAGAAGTCACGTGTGCGCTTTGGAGCTGGTGTCCTGCTGTGCAGAGTGCTGCTTGAGGGTGCTGCTTTTAGAGTTGCGCGTGTGCTGTGGAGCTGGCCCGCCGGTGCCGCTGCACGGTGCGTTGCAGGGTACGGGTGCAGGATACTACTGTCGAAGGGCTGTCTGCATAGGAACTTGGGAGAGTGCGGTGTGTGCTATGAAGCTTGGGTGCTGGTGTCGCGGCAGGGGTTGGCTGCGAGATGTCAATGGCAGTGTGGCCGTTGGGCCCTGATATAAATTACGTCGATTACGTTTTTGCCGTAGCAAAAAAGGCGAGCGCTTGGTTGCCACACAAAAAAATATTTTTCTATCTGGGGTCTATGCTGGCGTAACTTGTTTCTTTGGATAGGGGCAACCCCCGTGAATATCACCCCAGCTTTGTCCGTGGGAAATGATGGAAAAGTCTTCCAAAATACTTTGCCAGACTTGCGTGAAATTTGGTTTGGGAAAACTTTGCAAAAACCCTGCAAAACATGTAATGTAATGTTTTGTGCAGAGATAGAACATAGGGGTGTCCATGTGCAAATAAAGGTTTTTTTTTATCCATGTCGAACCTCATCAATAAAGATCAGTCAAGTTGGTATAAGTAGAAACTTGTCTCAAGAATACATCCACCTTTGGAACCGGGCCTCCCAGTTTGTTTCCATGATTCATAAACGTCAAGACGGATATGAATTACTGAAGTGCTGCGCCAAGATTATGAACAAGGACGAGCGGATGGATTTTCCAAATGGGTTCCAAGATCCAGCAAACAATATACTCACACATGTCTGGAATTTGAAATGAACCTTTCTTCAAGAATCTGCAGTTGCTAAAAGCATTGCTATTTTTGACCAGGGCCCCAAACATTGTTTGAGAACCTTCACAAGCTTTGGGTGGGTTTGAATGAAGGCTTCAGGAAAATGCTGCAGTGCTCAGAAAACATGGGCTGCCTAAAGAAAGAATGTAAACGAAACTCATTTGGCTGATTCCTTTGGGCGCAGAAATAATTCGGCATCTTTGTTTGCATTTTTTTTCGGGGGGTTCGGGGTTGGCCTCCTTGGTTTTTCATTGCATCCAGCGGATTTCATAACTTTTCCATTGCTTTCACTTGTTTGCCACGTTTTTTTCCTTCATTTTCCATGGTTTAGCGCTTTCCATCCGTTTTTCGATGGTCCTTCTTGATTATCTTGATTTTTCTCGGCTTTGCATTGGTTTTCTATACTTGTCGTTGCTTTTCTAGCGTTGTTCATCGGCTTTTCGGTCGTGCTCGTTGATTTTCATTGTTTTGCACGATTTTGGACTTGGTGTTGCTGTTGCTTGTGATCTTGCTCTTGTTCTTGTTCTTGTTGTACTTGCGCCCCGGGGTTGTGTTTGCTCGATTGTTTGCGTCGATTATTGATATTGTTTTGCACGATTTTGGAATTGGTGTTGCTGTTGTTTGCGATTGTTTTGCTCAAGTTTCGAAAGTGTTACCTGCTACTGTTGCTGCTGGTGTTGTTGTTGTTGTTGCTGTTGCTGTTGCTGTTGCTGTTGCTGATGCTGTTGTTGTTGTTGTTGTTGTTGTTGTTGACGACGACGACTTTCCCGCCAGGGGAAAGTCCGGATAACAAAAACGGGTGGGGGGCGCGGGGGGAGGGCGCAGCGCCTCTCCCCGCAATGCGTTCCACGCGCCTTGCACCCAGGCGTTGTTTTTCTCGATTGTTTGGATCGATTTTTGATTTTGTTCTTTGTTACCGTTCTTTAGGATGTCATTTAGGGTGTCATTTAGGGTTTCTTCAGGGTTTCATTTAGTGTTTCTTTACGGTGTCATTTAAGGTTTCTTTACGGCTTCTTGAGGGTTTCATTTAGGGCTTGATTTGGGGTTCCATTTAGGGCTTGATTTATGGTTTCATTTAGGGTAGGGTTTCGTCAAGGTTTCACTTAAGATTTTTTTAGGGTGACGTTTTCGGTTTCTTTAGAGTTTCATTGGGGGTTTCTTTAGGGTTTCACACAAATCAACCCACGTAGATATAGTTGGAGACCAGATTCAACAAGTGTCCTGAATTTTTTCCAACGTAAAAAAGAGCTAGTTAGGACACTTGATGTTGAAAAAGGTTGCAATTTCTTTCACAAAAGCATGTATATAAACTCATCTGACTGCCATGCAACCATTGTGAAACACAAATCAAGCAAATATAGTTGGAGAACAGAGTTCAACAAGTGTCTTGAAATACGGTCTGAAGAACTTTAAGACTAACAAGTAGTTAGGACACTTGTTGAAAACAAGTCTCAATTCCTTTCACAACAGCATGCGTATGTAAGCTTTCATTACGCCTCTAGTTTCTGTGCGGTGTGCATGTAATTTAAATGCCGTGTATTATCGATGGAAGTTTATATAGACGTCAAAATTCCGACAATATGGACAGATGGAAAGCAGAGGTGGGAAGAGTCAGAGAAGAGAAGAGAAGAAGAAAGAAGATCAGAGAAGAGAAAGAACCAGAAGAAAGAAGATGTAGGCGTGCAAAAAGGTAGCAAAGTCGCGACCCCCTGTGTTTTTCCAATGATTTGTCGCTCCGGAAGGTCGAGAACTAGGCTCACTAAAGCAGCGGGTGCAGAGCCATCTGGGCAGATGAGAGATGCAAAATTGGTGCATTTTTTTTGCAATTTTTGTAATATTTTTCCCCAGCAACGTGAGCTAATGGGGTCTTCAGCCCAGAATAGCTCCGGTGTGCACTGGTGCAGGCGCCGGGTCACGTTCAACAGGGTTCCGCTAAATTGCTTCGTTTTTTGATGTTGTCAACTAAAAAATGAGGAAGTCTCGCAGAATTGCTTCGTTTTTGATGTTGTCAAGTGCAAAAATTGAGGAAGTCTCGCTGAGTTGCTGCGTTTTTGATGCTGTCAAGTCCAAAAATTGAGGAAGTCTCGCAGAATAGCTTCGTTTTAAAGCTTGCAGATAGATAGATGGATGGATGGATAGATAGATAGATAAATTGATAGATAGCTTGATAGATAGATTGATTGATAGATTCGATTAGATTAGATGAGATTAGATTTAAATTTTTAGATTTGGATTTAGATTAGATTAGATTAGATAGATAGATAGGGAATTAGATGAAAGAGAGAGTGAGAGAGATAGATAGACGGATGGATAGACCGATAGATAGATAGATAGGTAGGTAGGTAGATAGTCAGAGAAAGAAGAGAAAGAGAGGAGACCTCAACCACCTTTCGGTCCATCAGTGGATTCGCTCTGCCATCCGTGATTCACAGCAACCAACCTCTCCTATAGGTTTCCTATTTTTGAGACTTCCGCCACCGCCTTGCACGGCACTACTGGTAATGACAAAGATAACCTAGGAAAAGACCGTTGTAATTATCCTAGTAGATAAGACAACCTTTTTCTAGGCTGTTTTGACGCGAACCTAGGTTATCAGCTCAAAGATGATAGCCCGGGACGTAGGCTATTTTAATAACCTAGGAGAAGCCTATAAGGGATCATCATCAACGCCGGAGCAACTGCTGGTAATCCCAGACTTTGTCATTAAAATGAAAATATACGTAGCTTTACTGTCATCATTCACCGTGTTGGGAAAAACTTTGAGCCAACTCTAGCTGCCACCCTGCTCCTGCCCAGGTTGATGAAGGCATACTCCTCGCCGCCGCCCATTGCAGCACGACGGACCAAGCCGCTCAAAGCGATGAGGATCATGATGCCAATGGAAGAGAAAATCACCACCTCAAATTGGGCTGGAAACTGATTGCGCTGGACAATGGCCTTGCGAGGTCTGTGAGAGGAAAGCTCCGTTGGGGGCACCAAAATATTGATGTTACTAGCGTTTGCGGCATCTTTGGTTGCCTGAGACAGTATGAATATGTCAGGGCCACGGTCAATATTTAGTATATAGCTCCAAGTCATCAATTTTTGACGAGCGTATCATCGCTTTTGAGGTTTTGGGAATTTCGCAAATGTTATCGGTTTTTGAAGAATCTATTATTGTTTTGCAAGCCCCAGCTCAATTCTCAAAAAATAGAGGAGATGTCCCGAATACTTTATCTAGTTTCGAGAGCAATGCTCTGGGGAAGGGTACGGTGCTCAAAAATCAAGGTATACGGGAAGGCGGTAGGCTGTGATGGGCACGCCAGGTATACGATGTCAGAGGCACGGTGGTATACGATACACTGGGTACGGGGGCGCGGCCGGTATAAGGTATGGGGGTACGGTTGGTATGGTACGAGAGGGTACGGCACAAGGGGTACCACCGTACCCCCCTATTATGCCCTACCCCCCGCACCATACCCCTGTACCGTACCCCGCCGTACCCCTGTACCGTACCCCCGTACTGTACCCACTGCACCCCTCGTACCGTGCCCCGTACCCCGCGTGCCCTTTCCCAGATCTGCCACTATAGCAGCAGAATCTGCTGCAAAAGCGATTCTGCTGCTATAGGGCAGATCTGGGGAGGGGTACGGGGGTACGGTGCGAGGGGTACAGTGGGTAGGGTACGGGCGGGTATAGTATGGTTTGAGGGGTACGCCTTGCTAAGACTACTAATTTTAGATATTTTCACTTCGGGCACTCAACGAGGATCATAAGTATCTGATAAGTTGCTATTATCCTACTAATATTTTGTTTAAATTATTTTTAAATTTCATTCTGTGTTAAGTTCCACTTATTTTTTGGTCGAACTTACTACATGATACTGAAGGTATATATAATCAAATATAGTTGAATATGATTCTAGAATACCTGTAAATATCTGAAAATATTTGGAAATAAGTTCAATGCATTTTTTCAAATATTTTTCCCGAATGCGTAGCAAGGGTTCCCATTTCACTCTGGGGGTCTGGGGGTTGAGGGTGTGTTCGCTCGACGTTCGCAACCGTTCGCAACCGCCCGCAACCGTTCGTGCAATCCCCGTATGGCCGTGCCCATGGTAAGTTCTGCAGAAGGGGGCTTCAAACGTCGCGTTGCTTCGTTTCGCGTGGCAGGCGTGGCACTTCGTGACGCTCAAACGTGTTTTGTAACGCGACGTTTTCGCAAGATAAGTTGCAGTTTTCGTGGCATGCGCAGCACTTTGGACGTGTCCAGTGGCAGGCGCAGCACTTTGGACGTGTCCAGCGTCATTTTGCGTGGCAGGCACAGCACTTTAGACATGTCGTGTTGCGTGTTTTTTGCGAATCGCATTGGCAGGGCTGCGTCAAGTGGCAACAAGGTGCAGATTCCGTGGCAGGCGTGGCATTTTGTGAGATGTGCTGAAAATTGGCGGAAGCCTCGCACGAAACACCGATTTTGAGATAGCAAATTTAGAGGTTCCGAAGAAAACTCGTAGGAAAACGCCAATTTTGAGGCTACAAAGTGTCGTCTCGCACGAAATGCTCGTCTTGTACGGTAACAGGGAGAAAATGTAGACTGTTCAGATTACTTGTTTCACAAAAGTGTTCTACGTGAATGCATGTGGGTTCGTGGGCTACATTTTGTTTCCGATTGGGATCCTACTTAGATTTATGAAGAACCGAGCCAGCTACACATTGGAAATCTTTAAAATAGTTTTTTTTCATTTTTTTTTATCATTTTGGTTATCATTGCATTCATCATTTTTTATCATTTATTTTATCATCTTCATATTTTTTATCATTTCAGGTATCATTTTTTATCATTGTTTGAATCATTTTGTCATTTTTCATCATTTTTGCTTCCAGTGGTGCAAAAATCTCCAAAAAATGGAAAATTGCAATTTTCCTCGAGTTTCTTTTTCATTTTTTGATCAATTTTCATCATTTTTTTAATTATTTTTCATCATTTTTGCTTCCAGTGGTACAAAAATTTTCCGAAAAATTGAAAATTGCAATTTTCCTCTAGTTTTTTTCATTTTTCAATTATTTTTGTATCATTTTTTTTATTTTTCATCATTTTTGCTTCCAGTGATGCAAAAATTTTCCAAAAAATGGAAAATTACAATTTTCCTCGAGTTTCTTTTTCATTTTTTGATCAGTTTTCATCATTTTTTATTATTTTTAATTATTTTTGCTTTCAGTGGTGCAAAAATTCTGCAAAAAATGAAAAATTGTAATTTTCCTCCAGTTTTTTTAATTATTTTTTTAAAAATCATTTTTTATCATTTTTCATTATTTTTGCTTCCAGTGGTGCAAAAATGTTCCAAAAATGGAAAATTGCAATTTTCCTCGAGTTTTTTTCATTTTTTTTATCAGTTTTCATCATTTTTGCTTCCAGTGGTGCAAAAAAAAATTCAAAAAATGGAAAATTGCAATTTCCTCTAGTTTTTTTCATTTTTGAATTATTTTTTTATCATTTTTTTTTATCATTTGTTATAATTTTTCATCATTTTTGCTTCCAGTGGTGCAAAAATGATGAAAAATAATAAAAAATGCTAAAAAAAGGAAAATTGCAATTTTCCATTTTGCGGAAAATTTTTCCATTACTGGAAGCAAAAATGATGAAACATGATAAAAAAATGATAAAAAAAATGAAAAAAACTCTAGGAAAATTGTAATTTTCCATTTTTGGAACATTTTTGCACCACTCGGAGCAAAAATAATGAAAAATTATGAAAAAAATAATAAAAAATAAAAAAAATAATACACAAATAATTAAAACATGAAAAAGACCCGAGGAAAATTGCAATTTTCAATTTTCTGGAAAATTTTTCCACCACTGGAAGCAAAAATGATGAAAAATGATACAAAATAATAAAAAATGAAAAAAAATCGAGGAAAATTACAGTTTTCCATTTTTTGGAAAACTTTTGCACCACTGGAAGCAAAAATAATAAAAACTAATTTAGAAAAAATAAAACATATCAAAAAAATAATTTAAAAAATAATACCTGAAATAATAAAAAAAATGAAGATGATAAAATAAAGGATAAAAAAATAATGAATGCAATAATAACCAAAATAAAAAAAACTGAAAAAACTATTTTGACCTGGCCCAATCTGTGGCTGCAAGTTTTTCATAAACTTAGATCGTACTGCAATGCTATGGTGACTTTTTGGCTCACGCAAGGGGGCAAGCACAAGGTACTCAAAACTTGCAGGTTCCAAACGATGAGAGGAAAATACTTGCTGGCAAGGAACAGTTGTAAAAAAGGATGGTTCCTGCAAAGGATAGTTCCTGCAAAGGATAGTTCAAGAACAGGATAGTTCAAGAACAGGATAGTTCCTGCAAAGGGTAATTTCTGCAAAGAATAGTTTAGGTTCAAGATAGCTCCTCAAGAGGAATGTTATTTGCTTTTCTGTATTTCAGATTTCTTTGGAAGATGTCTTTACTTGAAACAGTTTGGTTTCTTAATTGTTTTCTTTTTTGTATTTTTATTTGAATTTTCAAAAAATCTGAATTTTCTGCCTGAATTTTCTGATTTGTTGAATTTTCTGATTTGTTGAATTTTCTGGGTTTTCTGCATTTTCTCAATTTTCTGTGTTTTCTGGGTTTTCGCAACTTTTTGATTTTTCTGTGTTTTCTGAATTTTCTCGGTTTCTGAATTGTCTGATTTTTTCGAATTTTCTGTGTTTTCTGAATTTTCTGATTTTTTTAAATTTTCTAGTTTGTCTGAATTTTCTGAAATTTCTAGGTTTTCTGTTCTTTTAAATTGTTTTTCTTTTAATTTAAACTAGACGTCTGAATTTTCTGGGTTTCTAAATTTTCTGATTTTTCTAAATTTCTGAATTTTCTAGGTATTCTAAATTTCTGTGTTTTCTGAATTTTCTGGGTTTCTTAATTTTCTGAATTTTTTTTGTTTTCTAAATTTTCTGAATTTTCTGGGTCTTCTGAATTTTCTAGTTTGTCTGAATTTTCTGTTGTTTTTTTAAATTTTCAATTTTTTTGGGTTCTATTTCTTTAAATTTTAATTCCTTTTTAACATATATCAAGTTAATTTTTACAACATGTATAATATAACAACTATATTTTATTTAAAAACCATTACAACTATAACATTATATATGTTATAATCCAAAGCTATCATCTCGTCTATAGCTATCATCTCTTCTTGGCACGCTGCTTGAAGAAAAATCCAAAATAACCAAATATTTTCTAACAAGAAATTTTCTTGGAAAAGATATTTCCTGAAAAGGATATTCCTGAAAAGGATAATTCCTGAAAAGGATGGTTCCTGAACAGGATAGTATCCTGAAAAGGATAATATCTGCTAAAAAGCTTACAAACTGAAAAAAGGTAAACCTTCAACCTCTGTTATCCACGAATTTATTTCTTATATTCAATTGTTTTTGCAAAATATATAAAAAGAAAAATCCTTCGCATTATGAATTCTAAGCCTTTGAAAATTTCAAAAAATAAGCTACAATAAGTAAAAATAAGTGAAAATAAGCACAAATAAGTTCCAATAAGTTTTATGATAAGTTCCAATAAGTACCAATATTTTCACTAAGTGACTGAAGTGAAAATATCTAAAATTAGTAATCTTAGTACCCTCCGTACCGCACCCACTGTACCCACCGTACCGTACCCATCAAAACCCTGTACTGCACCCTTGCGTGCTGAACTCCCCAAAAACATTCTTTTCATTGCCCTAACTTGATAACGAATACTTTTTTCCATTACGGTAAATTTTGGCTGTAGCTCCAATGTGGTTGCCGGTCAGTGGCCAGCGTGTTGCTGCTTGGCATGTTTGCCTATTTCCTTTTAGCTTCAAACTTCGCACACAGCCAAGAATTCAATTTCAAATCCATCCT